GGATTGTCCACTCGATTAGTATTGTGAGGTCGTCACGTGAGCTAGCCTTGCTGGATTTGCGTTTCCCCGCTTCTTTTGAGTGATCGTTTGTTCTTTTCATAGTTTCGACTCACTTTTGGGAAGGAGGTCACATGGCTGATTTTTAAGCGAGATTGGGACCACTTTGTTCCACACAGAAGCGCCACGTCGAAACAAGTGGTTTCTGGCTACCTTGAGGAGCGCACACTTGAGCACAACCTATGGAAACTGGGCACAGTTGATGACGAGCAAGCGGCGACATTGGATTGACACCCAAACGAGCTAGAGAACACTACAGTCAGTGGCCTCTTCGTGACCCAAGTGACCTCGATTTGCCTCCGCGCGACACTCAAACGACACGCACTGACTTTCAGGCTCGCTTGAGAAGAAAACGTTGCACGCTGCTCCAGAGCAAAAGAGGCCATGTCGAAAAGCCAACGAAAAGCCCCTTGCGATCCCGACACTCAGAGAAGTCGCCTAATTTCACTTTGCTGTCGCGGGCTTGAACCTGCTGGTTTCTTGATGGGGGGGTGACGGGTGCCGCAATTACGTTATTTTTCCTGGCCCGTCAGATCTTCCAAACCCCAACCACCTTCTCACGGAGTCGCCCAAATTCATGCTCCAGCTGCCTCCAGCTGCCCTCAAGCAAGCCCCAGTTCCTTTTGCCCAGAAGGCAGCTGCAGCTGCCAAGCAGATACTTTCAGCTGCGTGCATGGCCAGGCATGAAGGCCGTTTCTTGCCAGCTGCCCAGCTCCCCCACGCTGGCGCTGGAGTAAGAACGGAGACCAAAGGACACCTCTAAATAAATAGCCTCTGGCCGAGGCGGGCAGCGTGAAGCGTTTACAATCATGTTGTTTTTTGCTCAAGTACTTGTGGGATGGATTAGACTAGAGTAGGTGTTTGAATGAAGCCTTGTAAAGTAACTGGAGCTTGGGGGTTGTTGAATTCTTTGTGCTACAATTATTGTCGTGTTGGGCAAAGCCTCAACAAGGTTTCAGATTAGATTCATCCAGCCTTCTTTGAGCCTTTCAGGTTAAAGATGCTGTTCGGTTTCGTTAGCGGAGTTGACTACTCGTCTGGAGAAGCTGGCTGGTCGGGGAATTACTGCGCCGGGGTTGCCATTACATGGGATACTGCTCTACAGTATTGGGCTCTCCCAAGACTGGATCGCTTCCCGAGCGAGGGGCCAACTTCTGCCCCTTGCCAAATCCAACGGGTTACTTATCCGACATGGGCATAAATGCCAAACAAACGCTTGGATGCTTCTTCTGACCCACCTCAAAATTAATACGTCCTAGGTCCAGGCTCACTTTCGCTCTCTCGCCGACATGGAGTGAGTCAAAGGGCTCTGGGTTGACAAGTGGACCCTTCCGACCTATCGAAGTCTCCCCCCGCAAGATGATTTCTGCACACATCCCTTCTCCCTCTTAAGCTTTCTTTGACACATGTGTCACTTGGGTGGGGTGAAATTCTGAGGAAGGAGTGCGAGGCGCGAATCCGCACTTGCCAGTCCAAATGCGGCAAAAAGGAGCTTGGCCAAGCGGTCAAAGGCAACCGGCGCAAATATCAAGCCGTTTGAGAGATCGAGTTCCTACAATTGACTGTCCTAAGTTGGAAGGCTCAAAGTCAAGGATTCCGGCAGAGATATCTGCAATGGTGATTTGCTTCTGCGGCCTCTTTGCCAAGCCGGGCGAGGTCATAACTTGGTTGACAAACAGCGCTGGCTTTCTCCACTTACCACGAACCCCCAACACAGGTCCGTTTAGAGGGATATAAGTGTTGGAGAGCCCTGGGTTCCATGTCAATCTGTTTGCCTGAGGTAAACGGCCACAGCTTTTCAAAAACACAGGACATCGCCGCGACATCGCCTCGAAACTTTGTGCGGCCAAGGATGCAATTCACATGGACCATGCACCCGGCATGCCGCATCACAGTGATGTCCATCTCGCCAAATTGCTCATAGACCTCTTGCTTGGTTTGGTGCTACATTATATATATATATGCAACTCTGTCTATATCTTCATGGACATGCATAGATACATACAAAATCATATCCATATACAAATCCACATACATACAATGTTCTACATATGATATCATTAAGCGCAACGCCCATCGTTTGCCTGCAGGCCTAAGGTCATCTGGCTGCTTCACGCTGCCTAGGCATGTCAGGAAACCGCAGATTCACTTGGGTTTTTAGATTTAAGGTTTCGGTTTCGGGTTTCAGCTCTAGGGCTCAGGGGAGAGGATTTAGCTTTAGGGTGTCAGGCGCGTCGGGGGCGGGGGTTTGCTGGGGGTGGAATTCGGGCTGCAGGCAAACGAAGCATTGGCCACAAAATGGTATGTACATATCCCTTAACATATACATGTGCATAGCGGGCTCTGCAGAAAGAAACCGCCCATCTTCCCAAATCCATTTTGACAACAGGTGCATTTGGGCTTGAGACGTCACAGCGCTCCTTGACAACATTGAAGTTGGGGGGCCAGGCGGGGGTGCGGGGGAGATAGTGAGGCGAGAGCAGCTGGGCGCAGAACCCCGTATTTTCATAACATATATGTATATATATAAATACATACATCCATACATACATGCGCCAGTGCTTCCGGTTTCCTGTATAGTTGGAAACCAGCTTGGTTACCTACTATATTGGTACAGTACCACAAAAAAGGCTATACAATAGAGGGCAGAACCGTGAAACAGAGTGCCGGAACCGTGAAACAGGCGGGTGGAACCGTGAATTGGGAGCACGGAACCGCGAAAAACATGAGATTGGAATCTAGCTCTTACTTTTTTGGGAACCGAGCTTGGTTCCAGAAAAATGGTAACCACGGGCCAGTTACCTGCTATACATATACATGTACAGAAACATGTACATATACATATACATGAAATGCCTCTTCATATTCATGCACACATACAACTAAAACATATTACACATTGCATAGTAGGTATTGCATATGACATGTAAAGTATTCCTTACATATACATCATATGTATATTCATATATACATATATATATATATATATGTATGCATACAACATATGTCCAGACACATATATTTACATGTTTGTCTATCCGCGTATGTATATACAGGTGTTCTCTAAAGCAGAAGTTGGACGGCTTCAGACAGTCTCTTTGTTTCCCGTTGATTTCCCTTGAGTCATCATATGTTGCGGTCCATAGGGCAAGATGTGGCGCATGCCTGGATCACTGCCCTGCCCACAGCGGAATGTTTTGCCGTGGGATTCCCGCCCCTGGCCATCCCATCCCTTTCAGAAAAGAAGAATCCAGCACAACAACAACTTACTTTTTGAAAAATGGGAATCCCGCAAGGGATCAAATGGGCCCAGAATGCCATTCCCGTTTCCCATGCTGGCCTGCCTCTTGAGTCTGCTGCGGGGTGATCACAAGCCCTGCCGTGCTGGCGAACCTGGCGGTGGGATCGATGTGCTCGAACTGCACCCCCAGGTTGGAGGCCAGCATACCCACGGCGTAGTACAACCTAAAGGAGACCGGAAGGCCAGGGACTCTCCCCTTTTGATTTCAAAGTTGCCAAAAAAGGAAACACATGGACGCACATATCGGGTCAAAAGGTCGATTTGCGTGGGCTAGTAGCTCTGTGTCGTTGTGGGTTGTATGGCTCCCGACGGTCTCCGCTCGGTCACGCCAAGGGATCTGGTAGTTGCCTGTCTGTCTGGGCAGTAGACAGTTCGCCTTTTTGAGGCCCACTTGCCACCCTGTGTGTCACAGAGTGTCTGCAAGAGAACTTCCATCCATCTCTTGGTGGTTTGCTTCAGGGCAAATCAAAACACATACGGGCCATTTGCGACCCCAAACATCTACATCTGGATAAGTTGCGCTCATTGGAATGGTGCAGCGGATGCCAAAAGACCTGCGTGCCGGCAGCGAGCACCGAGGGATGCGTGCCTCAGAGCTCGGTCTCGCCCACCCTAGTTTGTTCAACCCACAAATCCGACACAAAAGGCGTGAACCAACCTGAAGTAAATCACATACCCATCCCTTTGGGCTTTTTGTGGAAGAAACCAATGGTGGGTGTTCGAACTTAGCGCCAAGACGCCGTAGTCTTGAGCTGCAAGAGATGTGACCGCCAACATCAGATCCATGCCGTCGGGGACCAGAGAAAACAAGTCCACGTGGTCATAGACATGCCATACCGTTTCATTGGCCAAGACCTCCTTGACGCACTTGCAGGGAAACTTGACCTCGAGAAAATTGTGCGGAAGGGGACAACTAGGGTATATAGATGGTTCAGTGTTGGGGGATTTGGGTTGACTAGTTGTTCTCAACTAAGCCACGGTCAACCTCTTTAGTTGAATTGGACATTGCCTGGAGGACGAGCAAGCAAACAGGGCCTGAAGACAATCGAGACAACATATGAGGTCATGATCAAATATTTGAACAGCAACGTTTTGAAGGGGTCACTTCTTTGATGTTCAAAGGTAAACTCCGCAAACAAACAAAAAACTAAGAAACGTGCTACTGGGCTTTGTAAATGGATGCAAGGCCCTCCGGACCCGTCAGATGAGTGACGTGCACCACAACTTGTGGGCTCGACCAGTTCTGGCCGTAGGCCTGGAAGTCCGAGCACCAGCTGCTGCAATCCTGACGGGGGGTCGGGCTGGTGTCCTTTTCGGATGGCTGTTCAAAGGAAGACCTCAAGCACACCGAGAAAACCCAAACGCTGCGTTGGAGCACCCTTTTTTTTCGGAGCAGCGGATGGCCTGGGGGGGATATCATCCAATGTCCCTCCGAACCAAAACAAACTCGGCAAGCAAAGGACAAAAGCGAAAGACAGAGTCTGTGATCCAACACCACCACAAGAAACCGCCTGCCAATCCCCAGCCCCAACCCACTCTTTCTGGACTCACCCCTGCCTGGTTCCAGGCGCGCGCCCGTATCTCCGGCCCAATGGATACCAGTTGGCGCAGGCCCCGCGCAACCTGCCGCCCCCGCACCGTGAAGGAGCCCCACTTGTAGCCCGAGGAGGTGCCGCTCAGGAACAGAACCTCTGCCGGAAAACCGCGAAAAGAACCTGCGAAACGCCAAGGAACAACGCCCCAAATGGCAACTGCTTGTTTTCCTTGTCTTCTCCCACCAACAATTCATATTATGTATACATATATTCCTCCTGGCTTGCACCGGCTTGGATGTTGCAGGTCGGGTTTATGCTTTCCTTGAAATGTTCCTGACACCACCAGGATCTCTTTCTGGGATCTCTTGTAATGCATGAATGGCCCTCGGTGAAACGTGAAGCAAATTGACTTGCAGAAACTTGTCGCACACCCGACCCGCTTGAACCTGATGCTAAACGCATGGTGCATCCCTTTCAAAACCATCGAACGGGCGGGCTCCCACCGCACACCCGGTTTTGGAGAACATCGGAGATTGAGTCCGGCCTCCGCCTTGTCCAGTCGGCACAATCTTTGCGCCAGCACTTCTATGGAGACTTCCTGGCTCAGCTTGCACACCTGCCTGGCGCCTTTCTGACATCCAATGATTCATTTGCGTGGGAACCTGCAAACTGTCAAATCTTGCTGAGCCGATCTGTTCTCGTATTGAAGAACAAAAACTGTTTCTTCTAGGCCCAAGGCAGGTCCTACAAAACCCCAGCCTTGGTCGGCGGCTCAAATTTGTCCAAGTCGGACTTCTTAGTATCATGCAAACCCATTTGCAACGTAGAGAAATGCCGGAATGAAGGTGCGATCATATATCTTGAAACTCAGCACATTCAATGGTTGTCTGGTATCGACATCTATATTCCAAACCCCGCAGGTGGTGGGCTATGGCTCGCGCAAGAATCGATGACCATCCTTGCTAACCCTAAAGGAAGCCATCTGTTCACAATGGCAGCAAGCAGACTCCTTGACAACCACAAAAGCCATGCTTCAGTCACAGTTCCGTGCCCAGAAACCGACACGGGATCTTAATGAGGTTTCAGCATGAAACTCAGAGGTAGCCAAGCACATTCAATGCCCGAATGTTACATCTAACCATTTGGCTCAAAGAACGCATGGTCCACACACGTTAATTACGTCCAATCGACTTTGAGAGCAGTGAGGATCTCTCTCGAATCTGGGGGGTTACCGTCAAACCAGCAACGGTCAAGCTCTTCACAGCCCACGCAAAACCAAAACTGCCAGAAAATGAAAGGAGGGATCGGTGAATCGAGCAATTTCCTAGTTCTTCGAGTACCCCCTAGTGTCAGTCATTACTGTATTCCAGCAAATGACGATACTTTTTGTTTGCTGCTGCCCCTTTCCTTCAGGGATATTCAAAGGGACCCCTACTTGAGCTCCCTGCACCTGTGATACCTGTATAATCCAGCATTGCCAGTGTCACGTGAGCAACAAGATCATATGTGTATCAATGCGACACTTAAACCCATTCAATTGGTGAAGCCACGTGCATGGTCTTTCATTTTGGTACATATGTTGGTTGTCCTTGCATGCTCAGACTCGACCAGCCTGCAGCTTCTCCCCGTGGGACTGGAAAGGGCTCCTCCCATGAACCGATCAGCCCACAGATCTCGAAGTTTGCTCCGCCCCAAGTGCAGTCGGTACAAATGGTAGGTTTAGGTGTGCCTCACCCATCAAAATGCTCAAAACAAGAGCTCCGCCACAATGATGAAACGTATGCAAGAAACTAGTTACCTAGTTTCCTTGAGCCAAACCAAAAACGTCGGCACAGTGGACTCATGCACCAATGGTGTCTTTGCGTTTTGCCTGGATCTGTTTGCCAAACACCCCACGCAGCGGAATCTCTGCAACATGTGTGTAGTTTCCCAAGCCTGAAAGATCCGCTGGCTTCCTCTTGCTGGCTCTAGATAAACAGTGAGCGAAGCACCCTCTACCAACAACAAGTATAGATGCATGCAAAGAGCGACTGGTGTTGGCTGCCCTCGAAGAAATGCCTGCCCTCTTAAAGGTACAGAACTTCTTGGAGGTATGCCACTCTTTTCCATCAAAACGTAAGCGACAGCAAGTGCCGACTATACAGTAGATCCACCTGTGATCTACAAGGGTTTTGCTAAGGAGGAAGCTATGGAAGCTAGCTGGATGCAGGGAAGCGGGGGTGTAAAAGTTCATGAACAAATGCATTAAAAGAGTGAGTGATCACCAGGTTTCGCAGTCTCCGTCTCATGAGTTGTTGGTCTCTTCGGCCAGCTGCCGGTTGTTTTTGGGCAGCGTTGAGATTGATCCCTGATTCTTCCCCCCAGCTTAGATCCCGGCCTTGTTGAATTTGAGAGGAAGAGATTAGATTTAAAAGCTCTACCGTTTTTCCTTCAGGCTCATGTTCCAATGCGGGAGTTCACCGATTTGACCAACGGTCTGCTACCCTTCAATTGTAGATCACACGTAAAGCGCCCTGTCCACGAAACCTACAACAAATAAGGATACTCACCAGGGACAAGGTCTAACCAAATTATGAGCGGTGCGGTCGCGAACCATTCAGTTTGCTAGGTAGATCGTAATCTATAAGAAACAAAAGCCTAGCTTCAAAGGTACGATTCATTTGATTTACACAAAAAAGAAACAGACCATCCTGGACGGAGCAACACCTGTCCGATCCCAACTACCTTGAAGGGGGAAAGGGGGTCGGCGGTTCCCCGATCAATCCTGTCCTCCAGTGCCACTGCCAAGTTTCTTCGGCCGCCTTTACCCGCGCCGCGCACGTGGAACTCGCCTCCGGGTAAATGAATTGCCGACCGGCAACAACCGATAGGGGACCACAAAACCAACACCCGGGAAATATTACTATTATGCACATGTGGTGCTTGCTCGAAGACATGGTTTGGCGTGCCCCTTTTCGACGGGAAAGCTTGTCCAAAGGAGTCGAGTCTGTGCTTTTCCGTGTTTGTTGGTTGGGGGGGGTACTGGTCAGACTCTTTGGTGCTTGCAGCCCCCCCCTCCCCGAAGAAAAAAGCAAAAAAAACAGGGGGGGGAACAAAACAACTGGCTAAAATGCAAACAACTAGACGTCCACGTGCGAACAGAGCAGGGCGTTGAGGCAACAGCTGGGTTCACTTCCCAAGTTGACAGCACCCACCCAAGTTTGAAGTCTCTGCTGATTTGGAAATATGTCACACAGTGAGACTCGAAAACAAGCATAACGCGCAGATTGAGACACACACACACATGCTCTATCTTCTTGTTCCAGCTCGCAAGCCAGCCGCCTTTCAAGAAACTCTATGGATGACTCCCTCCACCTCAAACCCGGCCATGCCTCAAAATCTGCCTTGGGCGCTGAGAGGGTCTCGTCCAGGGGCCAATGGCTTGGCAGCTGGCGCCGGTGATAGTCCACCTGCTCCAAGAGCCTCCGTCCGACAAATATTTTAGGACAGCCTATTTTGGCTTGGTCGTCCTATGTCGTCCTTGGTTGCTTTGGTTGATGTGGGTCGAGACGTGTTGGAAACCAAAGGGAGCGGAACAAGAGCTGGAGCTTGAGCATGTACTAAATGATGCTAGTACCGTGCTCATGCCTTTGAGCATAAAAATGGGCCAATGGAATGTTCAGCCTTTTGTCAAGCCCGCCCAGGTCTAAGCAAGAGGAATCCCCAAGCAGCATCTCGATTTTCCGCGCCAGCCAAAAGAGATGTGACGCACTAACTGCACCGAGGTGCCGCAGCCAGGGCCACCTGACGGTTCGTGTTGCGTATTGAAGGCTGACCGCTTGCTTGAACATGTGCTTCAAATGTGGTTGTTTAGACCAATGTGGCCCCATCCTGCTTGAGGAAGTGCCCCATGCCCTACATGATTCGCCATGAGCACAGCTGCCCAAAGAGCTTCTTCGTAGGTCAAAACCTCCCAAAAGAACAAACAAATCCCTGGTGCCCCCTAGCCTTCCAAAGAACATTCGTGGGCAAGGAAGGTTCAAAAGCAAACCAACATGGCCAAAACAAACTTGTTTTGGTCGCCGCTCAGATTGCGAGTTCCATGGCTTCAAAGGGAAGCAAGAACACTTTGGCTCCCGGACATTTAAGACAAACCCTACTAATAAGCATATTATCCAAAAAAATCGGACCCTAGAAATGGTGGCTCTCTTAAAACTAGGCTGAAACTCGAAACAAACACAAGCTCAAATGGGCAACTGGGGTGTTCAACCCAGTGTCACCTGGTGGTCAAAGCGTCGTAGAAGAAGCGACGCTTCAAGCCCACACGCTGTCCGCTCACGGCGTCCCAGGTCTTGACAGCATCCAAAACGAGCCACGGGAAGTCGGACTCCACCACTTGCCTAGAGTCTGTCTCCGCTCTGTTTGCTTCCTTGTGCAGTTGGTTGGAGCTTGGTTGGTTGGTTGGTCAGTTGGCTGGCTGCCTGCTTGGTTGCTTGGTTGGTTGGTTGGCAGGCTAGTTGGCTAGCTGCTTGCTTGCTTGGTCGGTTGGTTGGCAGGCTGGCTGGCTGGCTTGTTTATCTGTTTGTTTGGTTGCTTGCTTGTTTTCTTGTTTGTATGTTGGTCCGAGTGTGTGTGTGTGGGTGATTGTGTGTGTGTGTGAGTGTGTGAGTGTGTAAGTGTGAGTGTGTAAGTGTGAGTGTGAGTGTGAGTGCTGTGTGGCGTGTGGTGTGTGGTGTGATTGGTGTGTGTGTGTGTGTGCGCGTTTGTTTGTTTGTGTGTCTGTGTATGTTTGCTTGTTTGCTTGCTTCCTTAATTCATTGCGGGGCTCGCCTTTGCACACGGGGCCAGGAGTGCTTTTCATCTGCGCGTGAATTCGGAAACTATATTTCCACGCGGCAAGGCTTTACGGCAGCCTGCCTCTTAAAACCAAACAAGCATTTATGCTCGAAACTCACAACCGAGCTAGGTAGGGTTGCGACCCTAAGCGTGCTCGCTTCGCGCTCGGTTTGTGCTTGTGCTTGGTTAGTGCTCGGTTCGTGCTCAATTGGTGCTCTGCTCTGCCGGCTCGCGCTCTGTTCGTGCTGCTTGGGTTGTGCTCAGGTGGCGCTCTGCTTGGGAGGCTCGTATTTGGATCGTGCCCGGTTCGGCCCGGTTCGTGCCCGGTTCGTGCCCGGTTCGAGCCCGGTTCGTGCACGGATCGCGCACGGATCGCGCACGGATCGCGCACGGATCGTGCCCGGTTCGTGCCCGGTTTGCCCGGCTCATGCCCGGTTCTCGCTAGGTTCGTGCCCGGTTCGCGCCCGGTTCGTGCCCGGTTTGCGCCCGGTTCGTGCACGGATCGCGCGCGGATCGTGCACGGATCGCACCCGGTTCGTGCCGGTTCGTGCCGGTTCGCGCCCGGTTCGTGCCGCTCGTGCCCGGTTCGCGCTCGCTTCGCGCACGGATCGCGCACGGTTCGCGCACGGATCGCGCACGGATCGTGCCTGGTTCGTGCCCGGTTCGTGCCCGGCTCATGCCCGGTTCGTGCTCAGTTCGTGCCCGGTTCGTGCCCGGTTCGTGCCCGGTTCGCGCCCAGTTCGTAAACGGTTCGCGCACGGTTCGCGCCCGGTTCGTGCACGGATCGCGCACGGACCGGGCACGGATCGCGCCCGGCTCGTGCCCGGTTCGTGCCCGGTTCGTGCCCGGTTCGTGCCCGGTTCGTGTTTGGTTCGTGCCCGGTTCGTGCCCGGTTCGTGCCCGGCTCGTGCTCGGTTTTTGCTGCGAGGCTCATGCTAGTTTGAGCTTTGCCTTGGCGAACGGCTTCCCCATAGCAATAAATGGGGTACCCCCCTTCCCCCCTTTTAATCAATATATTCCCTGGGGCAACAAAAACTATTGATAGGGTACCACAAGGGCGCTGCAGGGTGCCACCTGGCACAAACGCCTTAAACAGCAATATGTCCACTAGCGATTTAAAAGAAAACCGCTCAAGGCAGTTTTGTTGATATTGAACTTGAACAAAACAAATCGGCGCCGTTCAATCTGATTTGCTCACTCTAGATTTGAATGTGCAATTCGATAATTCAAACGTGAATGCAATCGTAAGTCAAACCTGGTTTGGAGAGCTAATAAGTTCAGGTCTGGACGAGGGGTCCGCGAAAAACAAATTAATGATAGAGCGCATTCTTGATAGGGGGAAGTAATTGGCAGCTCAGCCTAGAGCCTTTGAGAAATCTGGCGTGTTACAGAAAACGCCGCAATCCGGCCACCAGCCCCCCCACCCCCCTTCCTTTGCTATAACAACCCCAATGGAAAACAATGGACACGTGGACTCAGAATTGAGCCTAGGGAGGGGGGGGGAGGGGGCAACTCCAGAAATCACGGCGTTTTCTGTAACACCTCAGCATTGCGTATCTTGAGCCGGGCGCTGTTTGTAAGATTGTTGTGGGGAGCCTGTTCAACCCAGTGTCCCGGAAAACACAAAGTTCGGTTGATAGTTTCACGCTAAATGCGTCTGCGCCAATGTGCTTGGAGCTGGGCGGCCATAGCAAATATATCTTTGTAGGGCTTTTCAATTCCAAGTCTGGGGGTGGCAACTTGGCTTTGCGGCGATAGCGTTTGGCGGCGTTCCTTTCTGGCGCTTAGAAGCACCAGCCACTGGCCAAATAAGAGGCAACAAGGCCCACAGAAACCACAAGGGTAAGAGAATAGACGCCCAAGCAGAAAAAGCATTCTGGAGAGTACAATTGCTGAGCAGACCAACAAAAGCTGAGCTGCGCGGCGCTTTCACCTTTGGCTGTTCAACGTAGGGCTTGAAATCACGCATTTCAGAAGGCATGCCTGTTTGAGCTGGCGCAAAGCAGAAACCCTCAGAGCGCTACGTGCTTCCAAAGCTTTGTCAGGTCCAACCATGCATCAACAGCTTCTTGCTGCACGTAGAATTACAAATCTATCATGCCTGGAAAGCCCAGGGCGCCGAAGTTCCGCCACTGATTGAAGTTAAATAAACGCGCTTGGTGCCCAAAAACGTCGTTGGAGCAATTCGCGAATGTTCAAGAACTTGCGTGAACCGTTTGATTGCCAAAAAACGCCGTTTGATTGCCAAAAAAGCCGTTGGCAAACATCAGTTGACCAGCTTGACCTTGGCAAAGCGTCACACTTTGGGATATATGCAGGTATTCTGTGACAAACCTTCTGACTTCACTGCCATGCTACACAAAACCACGCATCTTTGGAAAGCTCTCTGGAGGCCGTCTCGCACACTACGGCTTTGCATTGCCCGCGCTTACCTGCGAAACAAAACATTGGCCTGTGCGCAAACAAAAAAGCACTCTGGGGTCTGTGATGCCCAGTGCTATCAAAGGCAAGCCCCGTCATTGGTTGCTTGTATAGTTGTTTGCCTGCTGCTTGCTTAGTGTCCTTGCTTGTTTGCTTGGTTGGTTGGTTGCTTGCTTTGCTTTGTCTTGTCTTGGTGTTTGTTTGTTTGTCGGTGTGTTGTTTGTTGCTTGTATGTGTTTCGATTGTTTGCTTGCTTGTTTCATCTTCCCGGCTTGCTCGTGGTTGGTTGGTTCGGTGGTTCGCTGGTTGCTTGGTTGCTTGGTCGCTTGCTTGGTTGCTGGCTTGCTTGCTTGTTGGTTGCTTGGTGGCTTGCGTGGTTGGTTGGTTGGTTGGCTTCTGTCTGTGTGTGCATGTGCTTGCTTCTTTGTGTTTTGTTTGTCTGCTTCTTTGCGTTGCTTCTGTTCTTGCGTTTGTCTGCTTGTCTGCTTGCTAGCTTCTTTGCTTCTTTGCTTGCTTGATCTGTTTGGTGATCTGTGTTCGCCTTTCTTTTAGAGATGCGTATTTCGGTTGTCTTGCTTCACAGACCTTCCATGGTATAAACAGGTTGGCACTCAGTACCTCTCTTCGGAATTGGCGAGCCGTCAGAAGAGCACAACCATGTGGGAAACACGTTCAAGTACCACTAGCCAAGAAGAAGATAGGATGAAACCCCAGCGAAATGGCTGCCAATGGTGCCCAGCTGTAGACTGACTGCCCGCACCCTTGTGGCAGGTGTGGTAACACCAAGATATGTTGCTGTTTCTCTGTTTTTTAATCTTAAGCAAATGCAAGCAGTCATTTTCTCTTTGGAACTGGCCAACCCCAACACGAGGGTGGTTGGCCTGTTTGTTTCAGCCAGGCCGCACTGCGGTGGACATCTGGCCGGCTCTCAGCAGCGCCAGCAATGCTGCGCCCACAGAGAAGGAGCAGGGATTGGCAGCAAACTCCTTGACTTGAAACCCTGGCAAAAACCAATGGGTCAACACTAGGCACCTCTCCAAATGCCGGGGGCTGAGAAGCTTTCTGAGGGCTGCTCTGACATCAGAGAGCCTGCTGCGATATTCAAGTGAACTAAAAACACTCCAAGGGGTGGGAACTCTAGTTCTTTGTCTTTGAGGTACAATAGGCTCAACTCGCTGTGACGCATCCCACTTGGCGGGTGGTCAACGGTTGAACATATACCAAAGGCGTCAGTGCAAGCTCTGGCAAATGTTGCTCTTTGAACCCGCGAAAATAGTGGCGGAAACGATGTGTTTTCCGGGGTTCTAGAACGAGAACAGTCAAATGACCCAAGCACGCAATCCGCGAGCCAAGGCTCCAGCAAGCCACTGGCAATGTCTGCGATCTTTCGTATTTGCGGGAGATCCAGGACAGCACCCTCCACCAGCTTTTGCACCAGCGGGAAGAGCTCGTTGGCCCTGGTGTCCACCGCACGGAAAAAAACACGCAAGGGTTTTAATGGAGTAACCTTCGCACAGTGGCATCTCGTAATTGCATGCCACATGCTCAGTGATGTGTTTTCAGTTATTTTGTTCTGTGGGGAGGACTAGCGACTAGTGGACACCCCATCAGGAGGCAACGCACGACACAGATCTATGTCAAGAAACATCCAAGATGGCCGCTTACCACCATGCATCTGATGTCGGCCGACATGGCCCCTCAACAGAAAATCTTTGCACGGGCTGCCTTACCCCAGTTGAAAGATCCGTTTAACAAAAATCGAGGAACTCTGAGTAAGCAGGTCTTCTGACCGTGAAGTATGTGAAGCTTCGTGATCAAATTCATAAACCCTCCTCACCACTCGAACAACATCTGCAATCCGATTACTCCAGTTACCTGGTGCTTCACCACCTCATTGCAGCTGGGCGCTGTGAAAGGCTGATAGCATATCTAGATACATCGCATCATCTTTGCTTCACTGTTAGTGACCAGTTGAATGTGTCACCAGTCACTGTGTCCCAACGCCCACCTGCCAACCAAAAGGCACCCAAGGCACCTGTCGCCGTCTAGCAGGTCGCACTCATTGGGCACCAGGTTGCCGAAGCTTTGTCGGAAGCCATCCCCGAGGCGATAGAGCAAGGTCACGATGGGCCAGCCAGAGGCCACCAAATTGGCAAGGGAGAAGTCGAAGAAGAACAGCAGGCCCTCTAACTCCAGTTGAACCTCCCAATCTTTGAGACCCCCTACATATTCGCACCATTGATTAGCCAACAGTTTGGCCATGCTTGCACTGCTCACTTTCCGTTTCTGGGCGTGCCTTCTTCCACAAGACGTCGTGGATGTCGCGGTCTGTCACCTCTTGCCCACCATCGGCGAAAGATGCGCAGGAATGCACGCAAAGAAGCTCTGTCAGAGTCAGTGTGGCCACGCCCAAGAAGCAGTCCACCTGGCATGTGGTGTCTAAATCTGCGCCTCCCCCCCCACCCGGAACAAAGCTGTCCCTATTTTACGGCTGGGAAATGGAATTGGTTGCTGTCACACCACTGAACAGTCTTCCCATTTTTGTGGGGGGGGTCCTTAAAGCTTTGCACGAAGCCAATCTAATTGCATGGGGCCATGGCGCAATGGCAGCACGCCCTGCCAGGCGGGCTCCAGCTGAACGTTTTTCCGCTGGAACAGGTCCAAAGCTACCCTTGACCATACAGAAAAAGTGACAAGGGTCCAAGAAAATCTCAAGCCTTGAAGATGAGCAGAGTGAACCCGGCAAGCACTCCTAAGCAGAACATCTTCTGGAATTAGTGAAACAAAATCACCCTTGTCCCCCTTTCAAGAGAAGCCCCAAGCAAATCGTTCAAGCAACAGTGGCGTGTGTGTTCTGTTTTCAATGAATCATGGGTCCAACGAATCATGGGTTCTTCACCGGTGCATCTGCCGATTCTCCAGACTCACTCGCGCTTGCCTTGGCCCCGCTGAAGGGGAACTCTGCAAAGTCCAGCTCGCTGTTGGCATAGCGCCACATGTCCTACAGCCAAGCTGTCACAGGACATGGAGAATACACAAAACGACGGGAACCCTTCATCACCAGTCAGCATGACTAGGTGCTTCCCAGCTACAAAAAGGAAACTGAATTATGTTCGCGTAGGCAAACTAGCTGGGCGGCTCCACGTAGGCAAGTCACGTAAATCGTTGAGTTTTTGCTTTGCGTAGGAGGCACTTGCGTAGACAAGCCTGGGAAAATACATCATGCAGTTCGGTCTGGCCTGGAACTTTCACGTTCCAGCAGTGGTTCAGGTAACACGAGCGAGAGAGGCTACATAGCAGGTAGTTGATTTGTATCTGAGCTGGTAAACTCTTATGGCTCAAAAGGTAAGGCCTGGATCTCTCAAAAGAGGGCTGCTTCAATCCGCATAGGCACTGCGTAGGCTCACACGTAGGCTCCCGCGTAGGCTCGAGGCCCATTTGGTGAATCTGTCCCTTTCTGGTCGCGCCACTGCCGCAGCTCATGTACTTCCGCTTCAATCTGAGCACTATGCTTGCACTGAAAAATGTACTGAAAAGTTGCGATTCTGGTGCCGGAGCTGCCAAAGTGCATTTCGCGTATTGCAATTAAACTGAACAGCTCCAAGCGGGCAACACACGCGTATAGGCACCCCTTGCAGTCGCGGAGGCTTTGTGTAGGCACTCGTGTAAGTATGCATGAAGTGTATAGGCCGCGAGCACCCGCGCAAAGAAAACCTGCTCATGAGACTGGGGATTGTTCTGTGGAAATCTCAGGGCTAGGAGGCCGAACTCAAAGCTGTCAAACGCGACCCCAAAAGCTTTCAAGACACGCCGCTCTCCACAGCAAGTTAAACCTGATTGTTTTGTTGGGAGGAACAACGCAAACTCTGCAAAATATGATCGCTATTGATTTGTGTTTCTTCCTTGTTGGATTTGAGTGGTTCGAGATGTTGCACGTCTGACTCACTTTCAGCAGTCTTCCAGTAGTATTCCCGCGTCTTCACGCCATCCCGCGGTCTTCTTCGTTGCGTCATGAGACTTGAATACGCAACATCTGGGCTAAAAGGCTTGCTGGCAGTCTTGTGTTGAAATGTGTGTCCCCGATCACTTAGCCCGTCCCATTGTTATTTGTTCTCGGTTTAGAGTTCTAGGAAGGAAGGGGATGTATTTGCTCCTCCCAGTTGGACCCCTACGTCCCTGGAATTACCCAGTTTGAATGTCGTTCTTCAGCTGCCACCTTATAGATATGTTTCCTTCAGGAGGGGTGAGTCTTGGAGACATATACAGTATGAGCCACAAACAATATTCCTGGCCTGTGTAGTCAATTTGGAAGACAGTACCATGACTTCCCCAAATATATCAACAGTGAGTTACACAGATTCGTGTCAGTTGCACCAAACATCTGTTTCAACCCACGGCTGGAATAATGGTCAGCAGCATTAATTGCATGTGCTTCAGGAAACCTCTTCTGAGCGGGGACGAACAAGTTCATGACATCATGTAGTAGTTCGCTCAATGGGCGAACCTTAGCTTCCTCTGGACAATTGGAATATGAGTGTCAATCCCCCATAGCTTTTTGTGCCTTGCGGTAGGTTCCTTGTGCGTGAAGGTTATATCAATAGCACATATTCCTCAGTCCATTGTACGAACATGTCCCACTTGGCGGCCTTGGCTTCTGTTGGTTCCAGGGTGTTTACTGTTGAGGAGTTGCAAAGACCGCAAATATGTGCGCACATGTGTATGCATATATATATATATATACGTATATCAGTCTTATATGTATACAACTTCCGCAGCTGCTTGCTCTAATGGAAAGGTTCGTGTACCCAAGGACATGCCCGAGTACAGTACGGTGAATTTTCTGGGACCCGTCAAACAAAAACCACCTCTGCAACGAAAGGGCATTCGACAGTTGCAGGGTGCATGTGAGGTCCCTACAATAACACCGGGGTGTGACTCAAGAGTCCCTTCCGTCTGAGCACCATGCGACTACAAATAACAATAGGGGTGTGACTCAAGAAAGCCCAGGGAATCCACCAGGGAAGCCTCCAACTCATTCGCGTGTTTTCAGGGTACCCGGGTTGGGTAAATGAAACCGAAAGGAACATCACGAGGGGATCCCCCAGAAGACCAGAAGCCCAGTCCTGCAGCTCCTCACGGCAGGATCTGCAGAAAAGCTCCCCTTGAGGGCTGAAGGCAACACTCTGAGCCTTCCTCACTTTGGATCCAACGGGGAGGTCATATGCTGAGCGGAAAGAAAGCTGAAATGAAACACAGAAGCGAAACAAAGGAACACATCGGAAAATAGAAATGAAACCGAATGAAAGCTGGAAAGAACCAAACAAACACCAGAAAGGAGCAAGCAAAAGAACGCCAAAAAGATATTGCGCGAAGCTTCGCCTTCACGGGTTGCCACATGGCGTTGCACGCAGGCCTGCTCAGGTCCATATCCGAGAATTGTGTCAGCTCCTTGCCGCCCGTCTCGGAACCGCTGGATGCACCACATGACAGCCATGGCTACCCTACCTTCCACTAGCCCAAGAGAAAACACAAACACACACACACACATATGCTCAGTCATGAGAGTCTCCTTTGAACATCCAGAAGTGAATCGCCTCAAGCAAATGCAAGCGGCATTTGCAAGGTTCATATATTATGATCCAAGCACAAACCGAACCTTGGCGCGTCTATGGTAGAGGGTATTGGTATTGGCAAATATGTGAGTTCTGACAATCTGTTTGAAAAAAGGGTTCCCCTCCGCTTATTATTTTTGAACATCGCCACAAGGACAAGTCACTTGAAAAGGACCTGGCAGGTGATGACTAAACAACGGAGGAAATCGAGGGAACCCAAATATGGCTGGGCCTCAGCTTCATAGAACCTGTGCTTATGCTTTGGGATCCCTAGCTTGCTGCTTTTGTTCCTATGCTGTGGCGGTTCTGGATAGGTTTCCAAGGAACGCACGCCTATTTGCCAAGGGCCTGCTACATGTGCACGCCTCTCCGGATTGCCATTTGTCTCCCAGCTAGCATGTATATGTTTGAATGTAGTTGTTTCGGGTACTGTTGTTGGTGATCCTCAAACCAAAAAGGAATACTGCCATCTGTCTGGGGCCTATCCCCGGCGAAGTTCGCGTTCAACCGGGCCTGAAAGTCTGCGGTTCAAGCCCCATCAAAGGTGGCCTGCAATGGTTGCCCAAAAACACGCAGAATTGAAAGAGCTTTACCTGTGTAAATTGCTGGAAGTGAAACAGGGGTTCTGAATAAAACGAAGTGAGGTACTCAAAACGGAGGCTTGTCAAAGAAACCGCTACCAAAGACTGTTGTTCCCCGATGGATCTTGTGCATTGCATTTGAGAAGCGCAGGGTATGACTTGCATGGGTGGCTATTCCCCATGTCCAAGAATCTTGACTTTTGCTTAGTGGAAAATCATTCTGACAAGAAAAAGGTGCAGTGAAACCAAAAGTCCGAACCGAACCAAAGGTTCCCAGAATAAATCCAAGGTCCAACCAAACAGTCACCAAATTGCGGGGATCCGCGTGGGGTCAAAAAGCAACAACACTAGCACCATGCGCCGATCGAAGTCTGTTGGCGAGCTCAAAGCAGAAAAGCAGTTGCGTCGCAGGATCAGTCCTTGTTGGCCCACCAAAATGAGACCTGGTAGTTGAAGAAGTTACTCATCGATTCATCATCATCCAGTTGCTGCAAAAGGCCCTGAGTCGCCATGTTCGGATACGAGCCTCGGTTCTTCAAAACGTCAAGCCAGGAAAGAAAACTGACCCTTGTGTGAGCATTATATATATATATATAAAATTGTATAATATTTGGCTGGGTGTGGCTCCAAATGCCCCACCCCCACAAGTTGCTCTTGGATGAGCTCAAAAATCAGGACCCCGTTTCACACCCGAGCGGCTCAACAAATGGATTGCAAGTATCCCCGGGCGCTCATTCCTGGAAGAAGGGAACCTTCTTCACATGCGAAGAAACGAAAAGGTACTGGGCGCATACCGGGCGCGCCTCGCTTGGAGAAACAAAACACAAATCAACAGGTTGAACCAACAAGTGAATGGACTCGCGGGATATTGCCACTGGATCTCTGGGGCACAGTTGCAGTCGTGTCTTGGACTGGGCGGGTTTTCAGGCAACTCTCTTTCGTCGATCGGACCCCCCCCCCAGTATTTTTGGGTTCCCCCCCAACAAAAAAGAATAGAACAACAAGAACAAATGTGCCACTATGCCCGAACAAACCGAAAACCGCAACCCAAACTCCAAAAGACTATATATGTGTATATGGGCCAGCGTTGTCAGCAAATTGTGTTTTGTCGGCCTCACTGGGTCGCATTTCTACACGTCGCCCGAATTTGCGTCGCCTGTGAAGACCAGCGCTCGAAAGTCTGGGATGGGCTCCCCGATGCCAGCCGCATTCCTGGAATTCGCGAGCGCGATGGGGAGACACTGGCCCCATGATTTTACCATTGTCAAAAGTCACCCCCTTGGTAGAGTAAAGGAAACAACCCCCAATTTCTGACTTTGATAACCCCCAACAAAACGTCAATATAGTGGCCCCAAATAAAACGAGCTCACATTTTGTTGGATGCCTGCTTCCAGTCTGAGAAAAATAATTTGCAAGCTGACCAATTCTTGTCAGATCCCGGCGGACTATAATCTGATCAACTTTGGGGTTGACGTGCTTAAACATGAACAACGCCGCGCATAGTCGGGCTTGATCAAGTGAGTGGATGTCTGTGCAAAGTGAGTCTTCTGCAACTTTGCGATCCAGCCCGATTCTGTTCGGGAAAAGTGCACTGCCTCAATGTTCATTACGTAGTGGTCCCAAGGCTGTGATTCGGGCTGCATTCCAGCCCGCGCACGTTCCATTGCAGAAAGCACGTGTTTCCGCACGGCACCCATTTCCTTGGTCCCACTCCCCTGAGTTCAGCAGGCGGTTATGCAACTTGGATCAACTTGGGCTTTGACCCACAGCCGATACTTAGAATCGAACCGAGTCGAGGCACAAGTCGGGGGCCAGTGCAAAGTCGATGGGCTCCAAGGCTGCGTTCTCACAGGCGATCCAACTGTCCCGGGCCTCTCTGACACATCCTCAGGCCGCAACAAAGCGAAACACAGGCGACTCATGACTCCTGCTTCCGAAGTGTTGTCAGTGCTCAGAGGCTCCGAGTCTATTTGTGAACCAACGCCCCATATTCTTTGTTTATGGCCAGCATGGTAAATAAATCAACTTCAACTGCTTTTGTTTGTATTGGTGTGCCTCTAAGGGTTCGGTCCACGTATTTAAACCACCACAGTTCAAGGAGCCTCGGTGTTGGTTTCCAGTTAAGCGGACCAGGCCAGAGTCTCGTGGCTTTAAAACACATGTTGCCTCACAGTGGTTTACACAAAACAAGAAAAGGTACCAGCCAACGGAGCATCTATCCGACAAATCCTCCTCTCCGGGCACGTCGGCGATGACCCGCGGGATCCCCGCTGGCCACTCTGGGTCCGTGCGGCAGCGATGCACCGGGAACAGCCAGCAGTAGAGCTCTGCACTTGTGGCGCTTTCCTGGGTAGTGCGTCTGGTGTTAAAAATATGGTATTCCTCGGGGATCAAAACAAAGAACCAAGAAACAACAACCACCCCGAGCCACCAATGTGTAGGAGATGGTCTTCCACGTGCAAGCGCCTCTAGTGAGAAACCCACGCTGGGAGCGTGTCAATCCCTCCGGCTCTAAGCGGGCCAAAGAACAACTTGGCGCCAAGTGTCCGTGCCGAGCGCAAGAGGACGGGAGAACAGGGCCACGGCATGAGACACACGCATGCCATGAGTCCGCAGCGGCGGCCGGGTTTCGTGAGTCTGACCTTTGCAGAGTTTCTGTCTGTAGTCTTGGTGGATGCTTACAGGAGAACCAAGGGGAAAACATGGATGCTGCCACGGGCCAGCGCGCCCTTTGTTGCTTCAGACTTCCAGTCTGCAAAGCTGTTCAAGGAGTCAAATCCAAAGTCTCCCCGCCAGCGGTTTGAACATGTCCCTGTCATGTGGCTGACCTGATGGCGACTGCGATGTCTTTCGGGGGAGTTTTACAGTTTTGTGCTGTTTGCCATCCAACAACCAGATCCGAGTTTGATGCACATTAGCCTCACCCAAACCCAAAACACTGAAGTGCCTCACGTTGCAATCGCCGCCAGACTTTACTCTTCGCGACGAGCCAAATCCAGCAAATACGTCACTCCCTTATCTCAAGACCTAACTATGATATATGTTAAACAAAAATCTGAACATGTTGTTGAATCAGAGTCAGTGGAGTTGGAACACAATCAAAAAGCTGTTTGTTTTTCCAAATAGTTGTAGCCAAGGACAAATAGGTCGCATGTCTTTTCAATCAAACGTCCTGGTCTCCGGCTAATGAGTGAATGGCACCTAAGCCGTGTGCTCGTATCGCTTTGGCTTCAGTACTGCAACGGCTGCAATGCACAAGAATGAGTCCAGCACACATGCATTGCTTGACCACCTCTTTGCGGCCCTGCACCTCTTTTTGTCTCCGTATGCCTTCTTTGGGCAATGCATCGTGCCTCGGCTCTCAGGAGCGGTCAAAACTGCAACACTGCCGTGGACCCATTGGAACTGCACCTTTTCCTCAGTGAGAACTTGTTTAGTTGTTCAAGTACGAAGTAAAACCTTGGACAACATGTCTGTAAGCAAACCATCTGCCAGAGGTAACATGTTGTCATTTAGTCGGGAATGTGCGGGTTATATGGGCGAATATTGCCCACACGGCATGTGCATGATCCTTCTGAAAAGAGATTGCTGACATGTCATATTGAGAGACCGAGAGATCTCAGGGATACCCAAATCAAGGGGGGCTGCGGGCCCCCTTTGCGTCCCTGGTTTCATGTTGGCGCTTGACAGGTCCGAGAAAATGTGGGTAATTCTTCACCACACCAAATGGCCACCTTGAGCTCTTGACTTTTCCGGGCTCTGCATCCTCAAAATCCAAAACCGGTTTGTTGCTTCTGTGTGGAGCCCCTTTTGCGAGCCCAGGCCTCGTTTTTGTCATCGCCAGTACCCAGTCCTGGAGAAGCGCTCTCCGGGGATTCGCCTGCCAAAGGTGGCCTCTCCCGCGACGGCAACCCCACCACGCTTGATGTACACAGAAACAAGGGTCCCACAACCCCAAGGTTCACGACTTTTGCGCGTGTACATATACCAAAAAAAAGGCGCAGGTAGCCTCAATGTCTTACAACTTAGTTCAGCTTCCCTCCAATTGGATTGGATTGGTGGTCTGGAGGTGGTGCACACCGTAGCGTCAAGGAATCTTCAAATCCGAATCCAAATCCACGGAGCCACCGAGTCGGGAGGCCTGCTGGCGCCTCTGCTCAAGCTTCGATCCTCTGGGCCTAGGATCCGCTGTTCAAGGCGCGGAGTGTCTTGCCACTGCTAGAGCCCAAACCAAATTCAAATCGCCCTGTAATGTATATATATATATATATATAGACATGCATATATATGTATATGTATTTATGTATATATATATATGTATGTATAGACACATGAGTATATATATGGAATAATAGATGCAAACTATATGTATGACATGCCTATACAAATGGGTCCGGGGTACATCTTTATGGCACGTTATAGGTATATTGTGCTTTCTTCTGTTCTGTTCTATTGTCTAGATATATATATATATATATACAAATATATATATATATATAGCATTGTAGCTGATGTCGTGTGGTGTATGTCAGGGTCACCTGCTCCAGCAATATGAAGTAAGTTGCAGGGCTGTCTTTCGGGGTAACCTAATGTTCATGATCACAAAGGGAGGGATCAAGCAATGCCTAAATAGACGAAATAGACGACGAAACCGTAGCCGGTTGGATTGGGGCCGCTTCCCGAGCAGAGGTAGGTTTTGTCAATATTACTTCTTCCACAAGAACCCCGCAAAAATGGCAGAACCTCATGCTTTTGTGTGGCAAATTGAGTGAGTCCCATACTGCTTCCCACCAATACTTGGTGAAGATGAGGTATCAATTGGGGAACATTTGGGGGGTCAGCGTCTTGTATGGCTGCTCTTGAAAAGTGTGCGAGGCACAAAGTGCATGCTTGTGCAAATTGCCACTATTGTTTGATCATAAAATCAACATCCGCAGAGTCACACGCTACCCTGCCATCTGCGATGCGTATATCTCAAATTACTCCAAAAACTCAGAAACTCGGATCAATGGGACCCGAGTTCCCCTCGCACTCAAACGGCTGATGACATTCTTGGCAGTCTGTTGAAAGTGTATGAAAGCGGACAATTGCTTGGGGCCTTGAACCCCGAACTTTGAGGTCAGAATAGAAAGGAATCGCGAACACCCCAAGTACATGCAGTAGAATCTCCCTGTAGGCCCGTTTTGGGAGGGGTTCTCGAATTCATGTTCAGGGGGTTGCCCAGTCCAGCGGATCTATATATGCATGTATATTACATATATACACATATATGAATATATTCACATTGCCCGAGGGCCTTTTCTCTTCTGCAGAGAGTCTTGCAGATCTAGTCTCGGATTCTGAACGCCCTCTTTGGGGTGACTGGTCACATCGGACCAGCTGCAAATCTGGGAAGCATGCATCACGGCCCCGGTGACATGTCTAAGCCGTCGGGATCTGATCTCACTGCCTACGTCAAGGGCAGAGGGAGCAACATTGAAGCAAAGAAACAGCGCTGTCGAACATACTCTCTTTTCTATCCAGTAGAAATGCCCATGCCAAAAAGAGGACCTGAAGTGCAACTTCCCAGCCCCAGAAGCCAGAATTCCCCCACACCTTCCCAAGGGGGAGTGGCGGAGATCACACCGAGGCTGTGAGGGAAAACTACGGTTGCGTCGCAGATACGTATCCTCTGGGTAGAAAATCGAAGGGAAAACAAAAAGGGCATGCCAAGCCAGCCACAGTCAATATTCAGCCATTGAAAATGCAAATCAATTTTGTTGACGGCAAATGATGGCGAATATTGACCGTGGCTCAAGCGACTTTTCTACCCACAGGGAGTTGGTCTACCTTTGAGACACGGATTAGATCGATCTTTGTCTGGAGCAACCCTTGCATCAAAACAGCACACCTCTTTGAGAGCATCTTGCTCTTGAAGTGCCATTGCTCGGGGTCACTTGCCGCCTGAGACGCCCGAAGATGTGCGTAGCACAGGCTGTCGGCCAATGCATTCCCCACGAAAGCAGCAAGAATGACCCCAACTAAATTAGCCAAAAGGCAACCGCACTATGTGCAATTATTCGGTGTGATACTGTACTTCACGGCACTTCCCCAGCTGGGGAACAAGGACCCCGGAGGAAAAAGGAAGAGCTGCACAAAGCGAGGTTATTCCACTTGCTGAAGGTGCCACTTAGACAATAGGCTGTATAGATATACTACAACGCCACGACAAGTACAAGTAACCTCACCAATCGCTTGCTTTGAGCAAAGCACTTGCACTTACTTCATCGTCTTCCTACCGTAAATGTCGTCGAAGTTTTCGAGCTCCTCTTCGCTCACGCCGTTCATCAAGTCCTCACATGCAAAAACGACTCTGTGTGGGAACCCCGAACTTGAGTTGATAACATCTAATCAGTTGATGGCAAATCTTTTGGAGGTTCTCACCGAAAAGTGGATGCCCCGACGCCCACAAGAAGTTTCTTGGTCTGCGTGAAGATGCTTCCAAAACAGTGTGCATCGCGGCATGCGCTAAAGGCGTCTCCTGGAACCTCTCGTGCCGGAGAACATCAAGGATGAGCTGGACCACAAAGGTCCGCGGCCGGGTGGCTCAGAAGGAGGTGCGGGCACAGGACGCCTTGTCTGTTTGTCGCCTGGCTGAGTTGTTGGCTTGGTCGACCAGTACTTGCGGGTGCTGCGGCAGTTTGCCATGTCAAAGGCGGCCTACGGGTGTGTTGCTCACTGGCCGTCAAGCGGATTTGGACGGTCAGACGGTTGCGCTCTTCTGCGTCCTGGTTGTATGGCGCCGTGTTCCGCGGCAAACTTCACTTGGATGCCATATTTGCGACCAGGCCTACGGTCGCCTTCAGGCGAAAGGTCCCTTGACCAGCACAGTGACGCCAGGGAATCCGGTAAAGGCGTTGGACTTTTGGTTGCTTCAGCGTGGTTGGCGCATGACATTGCCAAGGCGCCGTTGGACATGCGTGGTGATGGGCCTGTTGGTCGGCTTGTGTCAGCATGTGCCAGCATGTTGCGAGTGATCGTAGGGATGCGGATTAGGTGGATCTTGGTACGTTTGACCGCATCGCGTTCACGCTGCGCCCTTCCGTGCACCGAAGCGAGGAGCGTCTTGGAGCCCAGCTTCCCTGCAACTGCAAGATCGCGGCAAGGCGGTCTACCCAATGCCTTTACTGCTGGGAGAAGGGGTACTAGGACCACATTGCAGGGTCTTGCCCTCAGCGGCCGGCGCCCCAAGCCTCACGGCCAAAGGTGCCTCTTGTGGCTCGATTCGGATGGAGTCTCAGGGAGTCGCCGGACTTGGAGAGGATCGTGCTTCGTTGATCACTCTTGAACGCCGGCTTTGGTCCGTCTTGCACGGGTGTGTGTCCGAAGATGACCAATAGGGTTGCCACCTGAGGTGGTTGGCTGTTGGGTGGGTGGGGCTTAGTTCTGTTCGCGCCGTGCAGGAGCTGTGTGCCTGCTGGTTGCGGCTGGCCCTGTGGCACCGGCCGCTGCCACCGCGGCTTCTTCGGGGACGGCGTCGACATGCCCAGCACCCAGCACAGTCCGTTTGAAGACTCTCTTACGAAGTGTTGCTACAGGTGAGGTTGAAACGGTGATCTTTTGTGATGCCGCCAAAAGTGGGTGTATAATGTCGCAAAGGCATGTCAATTCAAGCCAAGGAAGATCCAACAAAATCACAATGGCATAGAAAGCATCCCCAGAAGGCTTGGGTTAAACAAATGCATTAAACACCCACACTATGGTCTTTCAACAACCTCCCCATCCAAACGTCGACTGGGGGAGGGGGGGGGGCTGCAGGTCTGCAGCATATATATATATGGGTTTGTATTTTTTTAGGGTGGCCGGGCAGGAAGGTTTGAGTACGGGGTATGATTCGCAGGTATGATTCGCGGGTATGATTCGGGGTATGATTCGGGGGTATGATTCGCGGAAGCAGCAGCAGCAGCAGCTAGTAGTAGTAGCAGTAGTCGCCGAAGTAGTAGTACTAGTAGCAATATTGTAGTAGTAAAAGTAGTAGTAGTAGTAGTAGTAGTAGTAGTAGTAGTAGTAGTAGTAGTAGTAGTAGTAGTAGTAGTAGTAGTAGTAGTAGTAGTAGTAGTAGTAGTAGTAGTAGTAGTAGTAGTAGTAGTAGTAGTAGTAGTAGTAGTAGTAGTAGTAGTAGTTGTTGTTGTTGTAGTAGTAGTAGCAGTAGAAGGAGTAGTAGTAAATAGTAGTAGCAATAGTCCTAGTAGTAGTAGTAGTAGTAGTAGTAGTAGTACTAGTAGTCGTAGTAGTAGTAGTAGTAGTAGTCAGAGTAGAAGCAGCGACTGTAGTGGCGCGGAAGCTTTGAAAAGACTTGGCGCTGGACTTGGCAAGGCAAGTTCATTGCGCGGGTATGATTCGGGTATGATTCGCGGGTATGATTCGGCTAGGTGCAAAACGGGACTGATTGCAAACTCGTAGTAGCTGTAGTAGTAGTAGTAGTAGTAGTAGTAGTAGTAGCAGTAGTAGTGGTAGTACAGAAGTAGTGGTAGCAGCTGTGGCATAAGCAGCAGCGGCTGTAGTGGTGCGGACGCTGTGAAAACGACTTGGCGCTGGCCTTGGCAGGGGAAGCTCATTGTCCGGGTATGATTCGGGTATGATTCGCGGGTATGATTCGGCTAGGTGCAAAACGGCACTGATTACAGACCAGAAGCAGCAATAGTAGTAGTAGAAGTAGTAGTAGTAGCAGCAGCAGTCAGTAGTAGTAGTAGTAGTAGTAGTAGTAGTAGTAGTAGTAATAAAGGTAGTAGTCGTAGTAGTAGTAGTAGTCAAGGTTGTAGTCGTAGTAGTTAGTAGTACGGGTAGCAGTAGAGTAGTAGTAGCAGCGGTGGTAGCGGTGGTAGTGGTAGTAATACTCGTAGTCGCGGTAGTAGCAGTAGTAGTAGAGGTAGTGGTGGTAGTAGCAGTAGTAGTAGTCATTGGAGTAGTAGTAGTAGTAGTAGTAGTAGCAGTAGTAGTAGTAGTAGTAGTGGCAGTGGTAGTGGTAGTATTGGGTAGCGCTGGTGGTGGTTGTTGTGGAGACAGTGAACAACACAAAACGGTAGAAGAACATTAGCATCTTGCAGCATACGTTTTAAGGGGTATGATTCGGGGGTATGATTCGGGGTATGATTCGGGGGTATGATTCGGGGGTATGATTCGGGGAGGTCCCACCTTC